AATGCTGTGACTGATTATAAAGCTGACCTGCATGACATGTGATCACATGACATGGAGGAGCATAATCATTTATGACAGATGGTGTGCTTTACAGATTGTAAAACACTTGTTCCATGGCTGTTGCACTTTTGAAAGATTGTAAAATTACTGGTCTTAAGTCAAGGACTACCTATATTTTGCAAATTACAACAAAAAGGATCAGCTCCCTTTGGTCCAAGGGTGGGCAACTATGGCCCCTTTACAGCATCTTTATGACCTGTGGACTTCAACTCCAGGCTCAGGAATTTGGGATTTTGAGTGAGCCACAGTTGCCCACCCTGCTTTAGCCTCTTTGTTCTCCCAAAATGTCCCGAGTGCCTGTAAGATGAAATGCTAGAGACTATGAACAGAAAGAAACATGCCTTCCATTTTCACTGTATTAGGATACGGAGTCACTAAGTAAAACAATATGGAGAGAGACTTAGGATCAGTAGAAGTAAATTTTCTGTACTTTTATACTGCAGAATTTAATACTGTTAGATATAGAGGCAGCTATCAATTTACATACTAAAACAAGAATGGATTTATGTAGGATTAAGCTACTTTGAGCCAGTTAGTTGTAGTGGTTAAGGTATCAGACTAGAACGCATGAGTTCTAGTCCCACCTTGGGCAAGAAGCCAGCTGGGTGACCTTGAGCCAGTCATTCGCAACTCTAGGAATGACAAACCACCTCTGAAAAACCTCACCAAGAAAACCGCAGGGACTTGTTTAAACAGTCTCAAAGAAATTGTATTTTGTAAATGGATCATAGTTATAGACTGTAGCTTATTTTATTTATTTATTCAATTTCTATAGCCAGCCATCTCAAACAAAGGACTACAGGTGTTAAGGCACCGGGTTAGAAATGGAGAGATCCTAAATTCTAGTCCCATCTCAGCCATGAAAGCCAACTCCGTAATCTTGGGCCAGTCACACTCTCTCAGCCCAACTCACTTCATAGGACTGTTGTAGCAAAAATAGGAGGAAGAAGGTTATGTTTGATACATTTACTGCCTTGTATTATTTGTTTAAATAATAGAAGTGGGATATAAATAAATAAATTAAATCAAGTTCTAACATCACACACAAACACAAATCAGCTGAGAAAACAGTCAAGGAAGATTTGCTTAATCATAATCTCATTATCCCATTTGTGATTTGGTTTCAGTTTACTAGGTAAAAAAATGATTTCAGTGAACATTCAGCAAACACAGCCAACATCTGCTTTTGCATTTTTTTTTTGCCTGTTTAGCCAGGCTAAAAAACTCTTGTGTAATTTTGGAATGCTATGACTAGACCCTTATTGCTTTTGCAAGACACCATCAGAAAATTGCATCAGATAGGACCAATAATTATGTATACGAACCTGGAAGAATACATGAATTTTTTATTTCCCAGATGCTCTGATATGGTAATGATATATATAAACTTCCATTAACTAGAATATGTATTAAATTTCAAGTAGATAATTAACAAGAATTTCACTTTATATTATAAGCTTTATCATATAAAACAAGTAGTGGTAGTAGAGGAAGAAGAAAGAAACCTCTTTTCAGGGAGACACTAGTCACCTTCTTTAACCATGGAACCATTTTTTTCTTGCCAACTGACAGAACTAGCAAATAAAGTGATAGCCCTTATCTTTCAAATTACTTTGCTCACACTAAAAAGAAATCTATGCACTAGTTAAATCATAGCTGACTTCAATAGCAAAATCTAAATAGAATTGGAGAACTCTAACCATTAAAAACTATGCAGTTCACTTGCAGTAATAGCACATTTATTATTAAAAATACATTAAATATTGACCATATATATTAATCAGTCTTTCCTTTACATCAATAAAGAGTGAGTTTATGAATAGAGAGCAAACAGATATTCACTCCAAGATTCTATATCCTGATCCATCTTTCTACTGCAATAGTTTTTTTCTTTTTTGATATCCTATGCTCAGTACACCTGTATTTTAACAAATCCCAAATTTTTAGTATTAACCCAAGTATATCTTTAAATGCACTTTTTCCAAAATTATGATAGCCATTTTATAAATATGACATTCACAATGACTTATGCAACAAAGGAGGCACATCCAGTCTAACTAACCCCAAGACTGGGAAAACATCTAGGTCTTCATGGCCTTCCAGAATGCCATGAGAAGAAACTTTCTGTTCCAGAAAGCAGGTGCCACAATAGAGAAGATGCTCTTTTCAGGTCCAGACAAACAGCATTATTTAATTGAAGGGAGCATGTCAATTCCATTAACTTGTACTGGCCAGATAGAAATCATGGGAAATAGACAGTAATCTATCAAGGAATTTGGCCCTGTACCATGCAAGGCTTTATAACTGACAACCAGTACCTAGAATTGTATGTGTGAGCAGGCTGGCAACTAATGCAACTTGCAAAGCCGGGTTATCTCAAAGTCAGACTAAGGCATGCCCATCAGTGCTCACACCAGTCATTCTGAAATCAGTTAAAGCTTCTTTTCAAGGAAAGTCTCATATTAAGCACAAATGCATTGCAATACTTCAGTTCATAGGTGACTACATATAAGTGGCTCTTTGAAGCAGGAGCTGTGAGTCAAGAACATCTTTGAATATAGATCACTTCAAAATGGGGAAGTGCGACCCCATGTAGGACTAAAGATGGAAAATTCCTGGCTCTGGCATCCTCAATATTCATAGCCACATGGTCTTGGTAAGATGAAATGAAGTCAATTTGTTCCCATCCATCCAAGACCTCAAAAGCATCAGTTGGTTGGCTCAGAATTGAAAAATGTAATTGGGCACCATCAGTGTATAGATAATACCAGACTGAACTGGCAAGTGGCCTCAACTAGTAATTTTGTACAGATATTAAACGGGAGGGATAGTTTTGAATCCTATAGCACTCTACAGAGTGCTATAGAACAACTTTTCTTCCCCCCATGATCAAGACTGAATGGAATTGCCTACAAAGGAAGGAATGAAATTTGGATTAATGGAATAAAGCATGGCTAAACATATATATGTGTGCAAACACAGACAGTATAAACTACTTGGTCCAACTTGTTGTGCAAATTAATTGTTTCTAGAGGAAAATGATTATAAAACTTGAAAAGTATGTGAAAGAGATGTCCTGCAAAATGTATTAGTTTACTCAAAGCACTGGAAAGCTTGTATTGCTGCATTAAAGACCATCTCATATGTATACATTTGCATGTGCAGGTAACATTTCCACTGGAACCATCAGCAAAGCAGGATAATAATGTTAATAGCTTGCATTTTACATTTCAAGTTCCTTATTCAAGCCCACTTACTCTAAGAGAAATAAGCCTTGGTATTATGTTCATATGAGAAAATTAGTTTCATTTACAGAAAGAAAATGAAGGAATGACTTAAAATGAGCACTGGAGTAGATGGCATTTGACATTTTATTCAATTACATGCTTAAAATATATATTATAATTACACTAGCATAAAATGACCAGTAACACATTAATAGATGAGAAACAAGTAATATAAATTAGCATATGTTTTCATATATATGTTATTTTGGTAAGAACATTGTGCCTAATATTGCAATAAAACAAGATCTCCTTGATCAGCTCAAGTTCTGGTGACTTCAAAGATATACCCACTTTTTTTTTGCAACACATGAAAGTAGTTAGAAAAAACTTCCCTGAGACAGTGGCAATCTCCAAGTTTAGTTATCAGCCTTGGAAATTTCTGATGATTTTCCTCATCCAATTATTCACTAAGCTTTTTTTTAAAGATATGTAATGGTAAAAAAAAGTGCCATTTATTTATTATTAGTCTGCTTTGGGAGTTAAGGGAGAAACATACATAGCACTCCATCTTTTCAGTCCTCCCACCCCTTCACCTTCATGTTAACATGAAACAGATTTGCTGGTCCAAAGCATCAACTTTCACAGCTAACTGTAAACTTGAATCTGGGTCTCTTGCGGTAGGTAGCCTTATACCTTATCCTACACTGGTTTTCTGTGCAGTGTTTTCTATCTTGTTTACTATATCAATGATGAAATGTATTTGCAAGTTTGTAAAAATATACAGCAGCACCATCATAAATTACAAAGTTATCTGTCTCCCTGACGGTACAGCACGAGCTCTGTCTATATTTTGAGTTCAAGTTCGTGATCTTGAATTCCAGAGAACCACTTCCACGACATGGGAAACATCTATACACACAAAGGAGGCATCCCAACTAATCCTACGGTTAAAAAACGATGACTTCAAGTTTGATCATCTTCGAAACACAAACTCTCCCAGTTTCCCACTCTTTCCCTTCAACCAATTCATTTTCATTAGGAAATGAAACCAGCTGTGTCGGCGCTCATTGGCGAGTACCACCATCGCTCAAAGCTCGGCCACAACCTCCCAATGCGGAGATCTTATTGGCGAGTACCACCGTCGCTCAAAGATCGGCCCCACCTCCCAATGCGCGGGTGGGGCTTCCCGTGAGCTAAGCGAGCCATAAAATGGCGGAGCTGGCGGGAAGCCAATTCCAGAAGCTCCGCCATTTGTCTCCTTCCCCCCCCCCCCCGGCGTTGATGGCCCTTCACTCCGACGCCTCCTTTCTTCACACTCGGCCGCGGGCGCCTGAAACATGCGGACCGGTGATCTAAGCGACGGGCAGGGTGGGGGGGAAACGTCCGCAAAGATGGCGACGGGCTGCCCCGTATGCAAAATACCCATCGCCCCCTCCCCTCCGCCCTCCCGGTGGCAAAGGTAAAAGGGTCGGGTTCAAGCCACTGCCTCCGCCCGCTCAGACTCCATCTTCCTTCCTCTTCACTCGCGGTTAGACCGGTTGTGCGGCAGGCTTCGCAGCGCAAAGCCGCCCACGGCAAAGAGAGCTCTTCTTTACCCACCGAGACACGCGCCGCCCGTCAGACGCTCCGCCATGCGGCACTGCTGCCCGCCGGCCTCAGCCGCGGGGCCGGAAAGAAAACCTCGACGCCTGCAAGCACAAGGCGGTCTTTTACCTCAGGATTTGGCGCCAAGCTATCTTGGCTGTGGCTTCCTCTTAACGGTTCGCTGGGCCTGGTTCGTGACGGGGGGGGGGGCCTCCGCCGCCGCCTTCCTCCAAGGAGGGGGGCAGCGGAAGGCGGAGATAGCGGCACCGAAGGGGTTAGCGTAGGAGGGGGGGTTGCAGGAGGAATGTTGGTGGGGGGAGGGGAAAAGAGGGTGCCTTTTTGGCGAAAGGTCAGAGTTCGTGACCCCTTCAGGCACTGTTCTCTCCGCTGTTGCCGCCTGGGAGCGTTCGCCTGCTTCCTCTTCACAGCATTACGCTTGTCGTGGCCCCCTCCATCTCTCTTCTCCCCCCCCCACTCCGCCTAATAAGGCGGGGCTGGGCCAGGGGAGAGGAGGGGCTACCTGAGGTGGAGATGGCTTCGTGCTCTCGTGCGGCGGTAGTTCCGTCCGCTCCTCAGTCCCGAACGGTCTGTGTTTGAGGCGGGAAAGCAGCGTGGCATTCTTGCCAGGGCTAGGAGATCTACACGTACCTGAAGCGGGCGGGGGTGAAGCTGCCTTTAAAGAAAAGTTATAGGTTCTGAGCGATGCAGTCGTGTTCGCTTTAATGGAAGCGACAGGGTATAAATGTGGAGGCGGGAGGGGAGTCCGCCTTTTGATCCCTTGCCTCTCCATTTTGATACAGATACAGACCTCGATTTATCGAGCAAACAATCGATCCCGAAATTTATGTTAAGTGAATTTTGCCCCATTTTACGACTTTTCTTGCCACAGTTGTTAAGTGAATCACTGCACTTGATAAGTTAGTAATAGGGTTATTAAGGGAATCTGATTTCCCCATTGATTTTTCTCCTCAGAAAGTCGCAAAAGGGGATGACATGACCTTGGGACACAGCAGTGGTCCATAAGTTTGAACCATTTGCCAAGCATCTGAATTTTGATCACACGATTGTGGGGATGCTACAAAGGTCATAAGTAAAAACATAAGTCACTTTTTCCAGTGCAGTTGTAACTTTGAACAGTCACTAAATGAACTGTTGTAAATCAAGGACTACCTGTCCTTTGCACCATGAGAAAAAGTACAGGAGCTCTTTTTTTAACTTCTACAGGGGTGGCATATTGTTATTTCCACTAAGGGTGATGATTTGCACCCCACTTGCAGTCCATTCAGTGTTCAGAGGGTGAGTCCAGTCTTGTGCCCTTGAAGTAAGAGGCTTCAATGCAGTTTTGGTGGAGGCAATTACAATATTAGCTGACATTGTGCCTCAGTGAACAAGGAGCCATTGAAATTAGCTCAGGTCCTGCTGTACTGCATCTTCACCGACTCAATTTATAACATCTTGCCTAATAAAATATCCAGGAAATACTGATCTTTTTTTATATTCAGCTACTGTTGTCAGATCAGTGTGAATTCTGTTATGCTGTAAGTAAAATTAGTCAAAACTTTAACTGCCCAGTGTTAATCCACCACCAATTGCAATGTATTCTTTTTTATTTTTACTATTATTGTTTTAATGCTTTTATTTGCTGTTAATACACCACCCATCCCTATATATTATTCTGCCTATCCTTTATTTTTGTTTCTTACTATTATTGTTTTAATGCTTTTATTTGCTAGTCTGTGACCATAATGATTGAGGTAAGATATACTTACTGGCCAATTTGAAGAACATAGATATAGATAAAATTATGACTACATTCTGTTCTGTTACAGTTCACAAGCAGCTATTTCACTCTGAGCTGTTGCACTAAACTTCTCTCAAAAGAGCACAAATAGCTTCTCTTTCAGGAGCAGTGATAACTTCTTGGCTTGGTTGTGCTTTGAGTTAATGTGATAGAATATGAATTACAAGAATAGATGGAATTTTAACTAGCGATGGAAGAATTTTAACTGGTGGTGGAATTTCAAGTAGTTGCAGGAACTTTCTGGAATTGGAACTATTGAAGCCATAGGAGGTACTGGGGTTATCTCAGCTGTCTGAGACTGTTAGTGTAGAATGCCGGTCCTGAGTTGATCAACTATTCTTACTGTTGAACTATTTAATCTCTGTATGTAATTCTAAAACATCTATAAGTCCTCAACATATGACTAGCCACTTAACTGTTCAGTGTTATGATGAACTTCCCCAGAGCTACTTATGACCGAATTTCTAAGTAATGATATCTGAGCACACACTTCCCCATAGTCACATGATTGCATTTGGGGCACTTGGCAACTGGTTCACCTTAGTAACTGTTTGTAGGGTCCCAAGGTCACATGACTGCAATTTGTGATGTTTATTGCCAGTTTTTGGCAAAAAATGCCCATTGGGGAAAATGGATTTGTTTATTGACTAAAATATTTGCTTAACAACCTCTGTTCACTTTATGAGCATTTCAAAAAAAGCAAGTCCAGTCAGATGAAATCTTGACTTAGGGATCACAATGACTTAACTGTAATTCTGGACTATATTGTGGTTGTAACTCAAGCAATAGCAATAGCAGTTAGACTTAATATACCACTTCACAGTGCTTTTACAGCCCGCTCTAAGCAGTTTTACAGAGTCAGCATATTGCCCCCAACAATCTGGGCCCCCATTTTACCCATCTCAGAAGGATGGAAGGCTGAGTCAACCTTGAGCCTGGTGAGATTTGAATTGCCAAATTGCAGGCAGCTGGCAGTCCGCAGAAGTAACCTGCAGTTGATTTAAGGACTTAAGATCTAAAAAAACATTTAAGAAAGGGAAAAATAAAGTGCAAAACCAATATGATGATTGCAAACAAAGGGGAAAAGAAATACGACAGAGAAGGGAAGCCGGTAAGGCAGAGGCTAGAAGAAGGGGGGGTAGAAAGGTTTGTTGGGAAAAGAAAGAAAGGGAAAAGGTGGAGAAAAGCTACAATGTTTTGAAATTAAATGGAAAAAAGGAATTTTTTATGGATAATGGATAAAGTATAATTTTTTTTAAAAAAAAAAGATTTTGCAAGGTACATAAGATGAGATGGTAGTATTGCAATGGTTTAAGAGTTGATAAGAGATTAAAATGTTAAAATGTTTAAAAATGATTGGTTTTAAAACTTAATAATAGGAGAGGTTTAGAATATTGTTTTAATTAAAGAGTTTAATAAAATTATGGTATTGATGTTATTATAAAATTTTTATTATAGTATTTCTTTTTAATATTTGGATTTATTCTCTAATTATGCACTTAATTGTGTTGGATGTATTAGTTAGATAGAATGTACCAAGCAAAATCTGATTGGGTATTAGATATTATTTTAAAGATTAATTTGATTAACTTAGGGGGGAGATAGAAAGGCATCATACTCTGATTAATGATTTCAGGAGAAACTGATTTTCTTTTTTTTCATAAGGGATGAGACAAAGGGATGATAAAAAATGGACAAAAGATACAAATATAATGATTTAAACTAAGATGATTAATTAAGGTAGAATTAAGAAGTGTGAAATATGTGGAGAAGTTAATATAGAAGGCTTAGAATGGTAAATAAAATAAGTAATGATATGTAAGATGAGCATGAATATAATTGAAGTCCATGAAAAGAGAGACACCTGGGTCCAAGTTACTTTCCAAAAAGATATTTTTTTGTTTTGTGTGTTGTGTGTATATGTCTTTTTTGGGGGGAGAATTGGTAAAAACTTGTAGAAATATAGAATGAGAATAATGGTAACTAAGTCAGAAAGAATCAGATGAAATAATAATAATGATATTGAATAAGAGTAAAGAGAAGTAAAGAGAAATTGAATAAGAGGTTTTGGTATATTATATGGAAATGGTTTAAAACAGAATCATAATTTATCTGACTTGTTAAATTTACAATGGAAAAAGGTTTAAACATGTAATGAATAATGATAATTTGTGTGTTTTAAAAATTAATAAAACTTGTTTAAAAAAAAAAAAAAGAAGTAACCTGCAGTACTACATTCTAACCACTGCACCACCGCAACTACCAGGAAATATTTGATTAAATAAGATTGTTTTTGTCACAAGCAAGTTTAAATATATTCCTAAAATGCGGTTGCTGAATGCATAACCTCATTGTGTAGTCTATACAAAATAATAAATTATTTTCTTAAATACTGCAAACTCATATTGCTGAATTACAGTAGGTTATATGACCCAGGAATTCTCGCTTCTCACAGGGGTTTCGTGCACAATTCTATGCACTCTAGCAAATGGTCTCCATAAAATTCAACAGCACTGAGATATAATCAATTCATTGTCAATTTCATTTTTTTACCTAAATGTATGGTTATTTTTCCTGTATGTTAACTTTTACATTACATTTTTGTGCTACTGGTTCTACATCCATGGGTCTAATAAAGGTACATACTCCTTTTCTTAAACAAATTAATGACTTTGAGTGATTTCTTTAACACATACCCTTAGGTTCCATGAGTAAATACAAGATCAGGAAAATTGAATAGGAACGTAGTTTTTAGTGCAGAATGGACAAATATTTTTTCTTAACAGAAAAAAAAGTGTATCTTGTGTGTCATGAATCAATAAGTATCTCTCCCAAAATATTACATCTTGACTACATTTAGAGACAACAAGACTAATGGGGGGGGGGTTTTACATTACAATTGCTATTATATAATTTAAGATAATTAAAAATAATTTAAAATAATTTAAGTGACCTTTAAAGCAAAGGAAAACGTCAGAAAATGTTTTATAGAAGGCAACTTTTAAAGACATCTATGCAGATTGCTATGTCCAAGTTATACCCAGAAGAGAGAAAGAATTGATAGCTAATCCCAAATGACTGTTCTAAAAAAAAAGCTGACATTTTTTCCAAACTTACTTATCAGTTAGCTGGGAATTTTTTTTTTAAAAAAACCCATCTATTAGCTGTTGATGAAAAAAATATATATACAACGCAATTATTCATTTTTATAAGAGGAATCAATAAAGTTTAAAATTACCCAGGAATTTGTTAGAACTTTACACAACTAGTTACACAACTAAAAAAGTAATTTGTGATGAAGTCATAAAACGTCTTAAAGAAACATTGAAACATGATCTGACGAATTTGACAACAGAATTTGGGTATCTGCTCTTTAGATCAATGCCCCTCCCCCACCGACTCTTGAAGCAATCCAGTTGGAGGGTGGTGGTGTGTGAGTGGGTTCTGGCAGTGGTCAGTTTTTCCTGGGGATTATTCCTTCACATGTTAAGCTTTGGGTTGCCCCCTGCTCAAGAAGTCATCACTGGACTACCCTATATTACACAATTTTCTTCCAATATCTAACCTTCCCTTTTGGGGAGGGTGATTGAGAAAAATGGTTGACTGGATGAGCAGCCAGCCAGTAGAATATGCTGCTGTGTAAAGCTATGGGTTCTTTGCTGAAAATCTTCAAACACAGCTGGTTATTTGTTGAGTGGATCGGAAGGGATGCACACCTCATCACAATATGGTGTAAAGGTCTGGTATCTGAAACGGTTGCTGACTCTGACTTGAGTCTGAGTCTACATCATAGTCAGCAACCTATGTCTCTAATCAGCTTTGAATCTTGTAGCAAAAGATTCTTGAATTTTGGGATTCCCAATCGGCTGAGTCGTGTATGGAAAGGGGGGATATAAGAACAGAGGGAAACTTCATGTCCCAGGCTTGGAAGTTAAACTCATTTGAAAACAGCTGTAGGTTTCCTGCCTGATTAATCTTAGTTTCTTCCTGTTGACAGGCTGTGGGAGCAACCTCAGAAGCAGGAAAGGCTGTTGGTTGTCTAAACATGATTCCCCATCGCTTTTGAAAAACTTGAAATTCTTTTGGGGGGGAAATAACTCATCCATCACTTCTACTTACTGTGAATATAATTAACCTGTGAACCATTGACACAATAGATAAATACTAACAAACTTCTACGGACTTCTTGGTCTGTTATTTTATTTTTCATGTTTCTTAAAACAAAAATTAATATATTTTTACAACAATTTGAGTAGTAGTTTTTTTTTCTGTAGGCTTAATACAACAGTTAATGCCAGCACCAAAATGTCATAAGAATTGTTCTGTACTGCATGTTCAGTTTTCAGTCTTGCTTACAGTGCTGTCTGAAAACTCTTGAGTACAATAGATTGCAGCTTTCATTACTGAGTGGTTTACATTTGGTATTTAAACATTGCTTCTGTCAGTGCATTTTTATTTATTTATTTATTATTGCAGTCTTCCATTTCTTTTACATATTGTAAGTACTGTTAAGTAAGTAACAAGGTCAAATTCGTAACCTGTCACCCAAGCGAGTCTTAAATTTTTATTTTCATATTTCTATACTGACATCATGAACTAAAGAAAAAAATGTTGAAATAATGAAATGGTAAAACTTCATATATTGTTGTGTTCCCTCCCCTCCCTGGGCCATTTACAGTCTTGAATTGAAACAAATGATTGAACAGTTCATTTGAAAAACAAAATGTAAACCTTTATACAAAGAGGAAAGAAATTATTCCAGTTCAAAGTTTAATTAGCAGATCCGGTCATGGTCCTGAATATAAATACTAGAGATATTTAACAAGTGTTTCTTACTGTACATCTGAAATCTTCAAAGACTAAAAAATGGAAATCTGTTTCATTGAAAGGTATTAAATCTTGTATTTTGAGAGTGGTGTTTCTAAGCTCCCTATCATCATCATGCTTCATCATGGCAAGCAGAATTGTATCAGTTTTGTAATAATATTGGTTATGCTGTTTTAACAGCACAATGCTGAAATCTCCACCCTAAACACTTTTTTGGTAGCAGAATGTTTCTACAACAAATCATGCATCACATTAGTGTTGCTCTAGTAGTCTTTAAACCTTATTTGAATATCAAATATTTTGAGACAAGATAGTTTATCTCCCTTTGATTGATGGTATTCTGTTTCATTGCCGTGCTAAGTATTTGGTGGTTTGGAGATGGTTTGGGAGGTGTGTTGATATAAGTGGTCTTCTGTCATGGGTTCAAGCGGCTGCATTCTTTGCAAGGCTCAGATGAGTGTTTCATGCTATCTGGGCACGTGTGGTGCACATATGACCTGTTGGTTTTGTTTGTAGTCTCAGTGGGTCTCTGTATATTTTTGTGGATGCACTGCCAGCTAAGGACAGCTTTGGAAGCAACTCTGCAAATTTTCAAGAAGACACAGCTGCTTTGCTTTACAGTAATGTTTCAAGGAGGGGTGTTCTGCTTACATTTATCATACTTTGCAAGACATCTTTTTCAAATGCTTTGCACAACCCCATCATATTTAAAACCTGGCCTTTAGGCTATGCACATAATCTAAATTTTAATGACAGCAAAACTTTAAAGACCTTGATTACTTGTACTCGGGGCATAATGTGTCTACCGTCATAGAACATCATAACTTGGTTAACGAATTAACCGATTAACTCATATTCAGGTTTGTGAAATACACTGGACTGTAAACTAACTGAACTGACTTAGTTTAGCCATGAAAGAAAGCAAATCAAGTCTAACACTAATTCAGCATTCGGTACAATTGCAGCTGTTAAAACTGTAATTGATCTGGTTAAGCATGTTGTATGAATGCAATTGTGAGGTGCTATGGCTACTGCCAAATACTATCCATGAACTTTATTAGAAATAGTAGTTATAGCAACAACTACAGTATGCTTGCATTTGATCAGCTGGCTAAATACAATGGAAACTGAATTATCATTTTTGAGCTGATAATAGCATTAATAATATTGGTTGCTCCAATCGAATGACATCCTATATAACTGTTGAAGATAAGATTTAGGCAAGGCTTTCCAGAGCTTTTCTAGTTGACTAAATATAGTTAAATGCTCCTCCTTTCTGAAGTTGATGACTGTTTTGGGTTTAGAATTATATTTTAGGAATAAGATTTATAAATAAGATCTGCTCCTCTCGGCTATTAAAATAATATAATTTAGATAAATCAATTTTAAACAAACTGTAAAGGCTTATAATAAATTAATATTTTAATATCCTTTGGAGTAGAAACTGGTACAGTCTTCATAAGAACTGGATTGGAATTTGAAGTGGATTAAGAGTCCTAATAAACAAAACTAAGGTGTTACCACTGTTTATGAAAAATGCTATACAATTACCATAGATGGTCTAATGCCAGCTTGGAATAGATTTTCACATACTTTCTATGGTAGAGATTATGTATATCCCTTCATCCTTGCATTCTTAACTGCACGCCAGTGTAAACCTCTTTCAAGAAAGAAGAAAGAATCTCCTTTTTATTTTTAAAAATAAAAAAAAAGAAGAAGAAAGGCAACAAAATTTTAATGTAAAAAAACCCTCAGTTTTATGACTGGCACAAATCAAATTGTTATCTTAAAATAAAACAGAGTTATGAGAAAACAACTCTTTTAGAAGAAATGCATATGTTTAACTTCTTGAAAACATGATGCAACTGTTAGATGAGAGCACAGTTTAGTGATAAACCTGCAAAGATAAAAAGGGTCCATAAATATTCCCTTTGTTTTGTTTCCATCAGCAAGGAGATAGGTTTAAGAATGGAAAATTATAGGCTTCTACATATTCTTTTTCAGATGTTTAGCCAGATTTAGATTATATATATTGTTCTTTTCAATATATGGGTAATCTTGCATTAAATCAGAATCCACTTGGATGATGCTATAATATAGATGCTTCCTCCATGGCTTCAATCCATCTGAAAAAAAAAAAAGAATCAAAATTTTATTTTTAAATAAGCCAGTATGAAAATATCTTGTCGTTATTTTAACAAATGTTGATTTTGAGAATTGTTGAACTCTATTTTTCACCTAATGCATTATAATGGGAAAGCCAGCTATTTTCCTTGTTCGTTAACTAGACTTATAAAAAATAATAATAAAAAGAGATCTGCAGCAAGTATATGGAGAGATGCAAATATAAGTTTAATGCTACACTTCTGAAAACACGTTTATCATGTAAGGAATTGCATTGACCTCTCCCCCATTTATACATGCATTCAGGATTCTTGTTTGCATGTCCAATGTATTCATTTAGTTGTTATAAATTATACTATAAATGTGAAAAAAATGAGAGTATTGAGTATTTTCCAAGAAAAAAATGGCTTATTTACACAATTCCTGTGCCCATTCCTATATGAACACAAGCAAATATTCCTGTCTGTAGCTTTCCTGCCAAACAATGGCTATCTCAAATTCCATATGTGGGAAAGACCTATTGAATTCGTTTCCTAATTAAGATCCATTGGATTGAGTTGTATGCACTGAAGGTACTGAAATCCAAGAGTGCATGAGTTAATATGTACCACTTTATTGTACAGTGTTCATACATCTTTTCAAGCAGAGCATTATGTCAGTCCTAAAGCTGACCTGGCCGAGGCCATTTTGAGGCTTCAGTGTTGCCACACTGGAGCTGAGGGATAGGGTGGGAGGAATAAAGATAGTTGAGGTTTTGTAGCCAAAACAAAATACTTTCTCCTGGGAACCAAGAACATTTCCACAGGTGGTTGGAGATAGGAGGAGTGAAGTTACCAGGCAACCAGACGGCACCTTGATTAGACCACATGACTGAATGTTTGGGAAAGGGGGAAAAACTTTAAATTTGGTGAAAACCGCTGGAGCATTCAGAATCGATTTTCCTCAGCCTGTGCCAATATGATATGTCAAATAAAATTATTCTTTGAGGAACCTACTTGCCTCTGAGTTCTGTTTGCTATGAAGTATTACTTGGAACCCTGACACATTATTGGGAATATTTCTAAGGTTGCAAAATGTATTGACCACAAATAAAAGAAATGTATTTATAAACACAAAGCTATCTTTTTGGTTAACTGAAACCATCCCCAGCATTTTGCCACAGCCAAGTTGTTAATGTTTATTGACTCTTCGTTGCCCAAAGTTTACACAAAAGCAGTAATTTCTGTTTAGCAGCATTAAAAAAGCTTGTAAGAGAAGTGAGAAGCACTGCAGGCAATTTTTTTCACTGGTTAGTATGTTATTCCAGGCAGATCAACACCTAGTACCTCTGTGCTGAATTATTATCCTCTGCTCGGAAGCTATAAAACAGAGTTTGCTTGTGGTAAAGATGGAAAACTGCATCCATATTTCGATCTTCCTTTTCTGGGACAATTGTGAAACCCAGCAAAGGCATACTCTCAGTGGCGACTTTGTCCTGAAATCAGTGCAAAAGGGGAAATGGGCTTTAGAGGAAGAGAAATGGGCTTTACACACAGAGAGGAATGCTCTCGGAAAATAGAGAAACTCTCCTTTGTTTTTCTGGATTTGTATGATTGCTAGTAAAATGTAAATAAAATGATCTTTGAAATAATACATACAGGGATTTTCCATCCAATAATGCTAGACAAATCAGTGGCATGCTTTAGTTTTTTCCAGATTTGGAAAATATAATGGCTGAGCTTGACTTCTAGAAACTGCATCAGCACATACATTTTGGTTCCTTGGGAATGGTACACATGTGATTTACCATTGCTTTTGCTCAGAATTTTGTTCTGAACTCTCAGTCTCAATTTCACAAACATTGGGGGGGGGGGGGGTATGTTTGGTGGTCTTGCACCAAAGAACTAAACTGATCCAATTCTGCTTAGCTTTTTGCAAGATCAACCAAGGTTGGTACTGCTATAATCTGCTGCAACAAGTAAAGACTCCTTGAGTTAAAGCTGACTACATATGATGGACACATTCATGTAGTTTTCTTGGCATCTATTGTGATGACCCAGGGTGGGATACAAAACAAACACAGTCACAGAAAACAGGTGAAGCTTGTTTTATTCCTTCAGTTTGCTTCCAAGCTCTGAATATCTTTGACGGAAGACAAAACAACTCCCGCACAGTTACCCGAAGAAGGAAAAAAGCAACACAAACCAGGCAAGATAAGGGCTGGAGGATGTCCACAGATAACACACACTGGGAAGGATGCCAAACTCGGAGAGGAACTATAAACTAGAGATATTTACACGATTTGTTTCCAGCGTTTGCCAGTACGCAGGTCCAAACTCTTATTCAGTTGTCACACTTGCAGCCCATGAAGAGGATCAAGGCCCTCTCCTCCCGAGGAGATCACATCTCTCCCTTATCCTCTCCTCCCTGCATGCCCTAGGATGGATAGGGGATGGGCCTGGGTCCTCCTTTGACTGCTCAGCTGGCTCTGCCCTTCCCCAGCCTCCTCCACAACCTCCGGAGCCACACTTCCACTCCCTGTTGGCTGTTCCTCCTCTCCCTCAGAGTCAGTCTCCACCAGGGGCATGACACTTATACAGAAACGATCTCTTCCAATATATTTTCATGACTTCCCTGCTTTGCCTACATTCTAAGATTTTCAATCACTAAGCAGCTGTGACTAGTTTGGCTTTTTCAAAACTAACCAACCTGGCTGGTATTAAAAGTATATATGTCAATCTTGTATATGTTATAAGTTCTGAGTAGTTTGGAAATACTTCCCCTCCCCACACACCAAAACTTACTTCATTTGCTGTGTATGTGTAGAGCACCTTTCCTTTGATAACAAACCACAACTTTTTCCAGTGCCTTTTCCCTCTCTTGCATCTACTGAGATACCCATTGATAGAGGAACCTTCTCCTGAAGCCGCCACCTATATGAATAAATGAAGAAGAATCAAAACTCTTGTAACAACACATACTTGGGAATTGAAGTGATCTAAATTAACAGGAGTCCTCCCCACTGTAATACACTGCATAATAAAGATTTATATGTTTCCTAAACAAGCATTCATACTGGTTGCAATGATGTAGAACAAACACCTTTTTATTTCTTGGAGCTATGTAGATGTGTAGGTTACTAGGCGTTTTATTAAAAAGACAAAACAACAACAGTTTTATAGTATTTATTCTCTTACTATGCTTTTATGTTTATTTAAATTGGGACTTTTATTTCCACAAAACAACACCTAAGGGAATATGCAAGCCAGTTTGGTGGTAATGGTTAAAAGGCATCAGGTTAGAAACTGGGATACCGTGAATTCTAGTTCTGTCTTAAGGCACAAAGCCAACTGGATGATTTGAGACTAGTTACTCTCAATCCTGGGAAGAAGGTAGTGGCAAGTCAATTCTGAAAATTGTTGCCAAGAAAACTGGTCCAAACCATCCAGTTGGTTTCTGTGCCTAAAAGCAGGACTGAATCTTGGGGTTCCTCATGTCCAGTAGCATAGACCTAATTAGCTCTTCAATATTATGAAATTTGACTGGGTCTATAATAATAAATGGATATTTCTATGAAAAACATTGATATATCATTGTGAAAAGGGGCACTTGTATTTACAGATATTTTGACACTTGGGGCTTCTGAATGAAAAAAAAACATAATTAGTATCAGCATATACTATAATTTTGATCTGTATTTTAAAAACCATCTTTGATTTAAAAAAACATTTTGAGTAATTCATTGCATTTGAAACTTTGAGACTGATATTTATTTGACTAACGACATAGCACCCCCTTGTGGTGTCAGAGAAGAATTTATACAGGTCACAGTTAACACTGATAGGAAAGGAAGTCATTAAGTAAAGGACTAAATAAATTATCGCAGGTACTGTAGTGATAAGAGTTTGACTTTCAATTTGACTTTTAACATTACATAAAGAAAGCTCTTATTACTATTTTAAGTGATATTTTCAAGGGGAAAAATGATTTTGGGTGATCTGTTTTATAACAGTTCTCTCTTTTCTTGAGAAGAGAAAGAGATACAGAACAGAAAACCAGAGCTGGAAGGGGATCTTCTAGCCCAACGCCCTGCTCAAGCAGGAGACTCGAGTCTATACCATTTCAGACAAGTGGCTGTCCAGTATCTTTTCAAAAGCCTCCAGTGATGGAGCACTAACAACTTCTGAAGAAAGCAATTCCACTGGTTCTGTCAGGAAATTATTCCTTAGTTCTAGGGCCGTGATGGCAAACCTGTGGCACACAGAGCCATTTGTGCCAGCACACAAGCTGCAGGCAAACTTACCTCACTGTGCATGCGCGTGCCTCACAGCTGATTTTCAGCCGGTTTGAGGCCTTTTTTGGCCTCCCAAAGGCTTGAAGAAGGCTTCTGCAGGCTTTGCAGGCCGAAAACTAGCCCCGTTTTGTCACTTTTTTCCAAAAATACCAGATGTAATGAAATGGGGCTAGTTTGCGGCCTGCAAAGCCTGCAGAAGCCTGCAGAAGCCTTCCTCAAGCCTTTGGGAGGCCGAAAAAGGCCTCAAACCAGCCAAAAATCAGCTGCGAGGCTCAGTGCAGGTAAGGGGGCATGGGGGGGGCACGCATTGCCTTCTGGGTGCTGGCACGCGAGTGCGAGCGTGCAAGTGCTCGCACAATTTTTGGCATAGGAGCCCAAAAAGGTTAGCCACCACTGTTCTAGGGTGCTTCTCTCCTTGCTTAGTTTCCATGCATTGTTTCTTGTTTTGCCTTCTCATGATTTGGAGAATAGGTTGACCCCCTCTTCTTTGTGGCAGCCCTTCAGATATTGGAGCACTGCTATCAGTATTCCCCTGGTCCTTCTTTTCTCTAGACTAGACATACCCAATTCCAAAATTTCAGATCCAAAATTCTTTCTTTACAGAAGAATTCCCCACACACCTTCCCCCCACCAAAAGAGACAATAGTGCACCAAGCTTCCAGATACGCATCATAATTACTACGAATGACCATATAGCAAATGCATCCAGTCTGCAATTTCATTGCGTTTTTTGCAGGCATTGTTATATTACCTCCAAAAGAGCTGAAGGAATTTTCTTTTGTCTTTTGAAGGAAGAGTAGTGGATATTGTGGAACACAGAAGAGAAGGCACTGCCTGAAAACCTGGATGAACTTGTAGGGAAGCTGATGCTTATCGGCCGCTCTGCAATAGTAGGAACAGAAAGGTTTATTTGATATATTAGGCATTATATCCAACTGTAAGCACCTTATTGTGGGCAATGTGACATCTCAACACTGTTTTATATCTTTAATTTTTATCCTTGAAAAACCATTGATTCTGATCAAGTTAAAACCAAGAAAAGAAATTTCCCTCTAATCAAAGCTATTTTTATACAGTTTGCTTCCAAGATAAACTCTGAATGGTGTAGATTTCATTAACTACACATTTAACAACAGAACTGGATTATATAGAAGTGGAAGTTGGGCTATGTCCAATTGTGTCCCACCATTGTAGAATAAAAGGTACTTCTTCCCTTCTGACCAGCTCACAGATATGATTGAGCTTTACAAGGTTCCTGTTGAAAATGTTGGATCCTAACAAGAATATTAGTTTTTGTTTGAAGGGAGGGGAACTGAACAGAAACAGAATAACAGAATTGGAAGGGACCTTGAAAGTTTCTAGCCCACCCCCCCCGCTCAAGGTGGAGGCCCTATACCAGGAGTGTCAAACTCGATTTTATTGAGGGCCACATCAGGGTTGTGTTTGACCTTGGGGGCTGGGGTGTGCGTGGCCAGGGTGTGTGTGGCCAGCTTGATGTCACTCATGTCAGGGGCGCCTGTGGTGGCCTGAATGCTCTGACAGCAAAAATGGGCTCCTGAGCTCCGTTTTTCCTGTGATAGCCTCGTGCAGCCTTCTGCCAGTGAAAATGGAGCTCGCGTGCATCCCGGGCCCCATTTTCAGCTGCAATGGTCTCCTGCAGCCCTCTTCCAGCAAAAACTGAGCTCCATTTTCACTGGTAGAGGACTGCAGGAGACTGTCGTGGCCAAAAATGGGGCCTGAGAGCTCCATTTTTGCTGGCAGAGGCACTGCGGCTGGCCCTTTGCTGTTACCAGGGCAGTCCTGTGGGCCATATCTAAGCATCTCGCAGGCTGGATCCAGCTCCTGGGCCTTGTGTTTGACATCCCTGCTCTATACCAATTGAGACAAATGGCTGTCCAATCTCTTTTTAAAAACCTCCATGTGTTGGAGCACCCACAACTTGCAAAAGTTATCTTTGCCTCTGCGTGCTAACAGAGACCCCAATGTTTCCAATGGGCAAAAAGGATTCACCTCTGCTTTTCAGTTCTGTGTAGCAGCCATCACAAACTTTTGCTAGTCGGTCTTTGAGGTACTTCAGAGGATACTTGTTTCTTGAACAATTTCGGCATATAATCTACATGAACACAAGATATGATACACACTGTCTAGGTTAAGTCAGAAAAAGTATGAATCAAAGTTGGAAGTGACTTGAAGATCATTCAGTTCTAATGCCATGCAACCACATTATTTATTTATTTATTTATTTATTTATTTATTTATTTATTTATTTATTTATTTATTTATTTATTTATTTATTTGTCAATCGCTTGCAAAATAATAGGCATAAGTATAAACATGAGTAAGAATACAGAAAATAGGTACGATTAAATGGGGACAATAGGACAGGGATGGGAGGCATGATGGTGCACTTATGCACGAACACACACACACATGGACAAATACATGTACACAAATGTTAATGGCTGTGGTGGCGCAGTGGTTAGAATGAAGTACTGCAAGTTATTTCTGCTGACTGTTGGCTGCCAGGAGTTTGGCAGTTCGATTCTGACCGGCTCAAGATTAACTCAGCCTTTCATCCTTCCAAGGTCAGAAAAATGAGGACCCCGATTGTTGGGGGCAATACGCTGACTCTGTAAAATGCTTAGAGAGGGTTGTAAAGCACTGTGAAGCAGTATATACTGCTTACTATTGCTATTAATTATTCTATGAAATTTGCCCTTCAGCTAAGATCACCTTCCTCAGTAAGAGGATAGGATGACCCAATTTACCTTAATATTTAATTCATTTTAATATATCTTTAACATTATACATTTTGTCACATTTATTGCTCTTTATAATGAACCTGCTTTATATTAATCTTCTAAAATGGATGATTGTATAATAGCACCAGTGTTAAAGCAATGACCAGTCATTACAGGCCTCTTTTAAGTGTTGAAGAATTATTGATATCTGAACATGACATACATTGCACATAAAAATGAAGTAAGGAGCTGTAATTCCAGACAAGAAATAACAGTTGCATCTGTCACAAAATAGACAGGTGGACAAAATTATAATTATTTTATTTTATGAAGTGACTAAGACAGGATCAAATTTTGTATGCCATTCTTGAAGTAATCACACTATATATAATTTATTATTTAAATTGGTAAAGCTGCCCAACTCAACACTGACTGGGTGATGTTCAAATTAAAAGTGGACATAATACCTAAAAACAAAATAAAAATTAATTATAATATATCCTAATTGAAGGAGGTACTGAGTGCCAAACTGACATCCTATCAGTCAAATTAAATCAATTTATTACAGCCCCAAACCCAATAAGATACTTAATAGTAAAATTGCTAAATACTTATCTCTCTATAAAAAAGAAAAACAGTAAGTATAATAGGACCTAAAATAATTAAGAAGATGTAAAATAAAACAGAATAAAATGGTGCTATAAGAAGTTCTAAACAATGGTGTGGCCTATTGTACAAATGGTAGCACAAACCTGGGTAGCTCAGGAAGATATTTTTGAGACCTTTACCAAAATAAATAACATTAAGTAGAAATACCACTCCCTACTGGAAATTTTTTCAATATTTGATAAACAAAGATTTGTCTAGAGCAGGGGTGTCAAACGCGATTTCATTGAGGGCCGTATCAGGATTGTGTTTGACCTTGGTGGGGGGGGAGGAGGCGGAGTGAGTGTGGACAAGGTGGGCATGGACAGCTTGGTGTCACTCGTGTTGGGAGGCTCCTGTAGTGGCCCAAGTGGTCTGCCAGAGAAAATAGGCTCCTGAGCTCTGTTTTCGGCTGCGACGGCCTCTTGCAACCCTCTGCCAGAGAAAACAAAGCTCAGGAGGGCTGCCTGCACACTCCCAAGATCCATTTTCAGCTGCGATGGCCTCCTGCAATCCTCTGCCAGTGAAAATAGAGCTCAGGAGGGCTGCATTCCAGGGTGGTCCCGTGGGCCAGATCCAGCCCCCAGGCCTTGAGTTTGACACCCCTAGTCTAGAGTATAGCGCAGTAGGATATGGCTTAGTGTTTCTAGTGAGTCATCATCACAAAGGTAATGCATCCAGCCTGACTAAAGTGAAGGCCTTATGAAATTTCCGAATTGTAAAGGATGGTGAATAGGTTAGAGTGAATCCTTTTAGCAGAATACAGTAAATATCTGAGTGTAATACCTTGCTTAAATATGTTTGGAGATTTATACCACAAATTTATTAACTGAGGTCAGTTCTTAATACCTAATGAGCACAAACTTTCCAGAGAAGCTCATTCAATGAATTTTATCTAAGGCGTTTTAAAACCATGACTATTTAAACTCATATCTAATTACCAACTGTCCAGACTGGATTTTTACAGAGTTTCTGCTTTCAGAAGACAAACCTTTTACTACAGTCTATTTTAAAAATGAGGTTCCCTTCCTGGTAATGAATTGATGGGAAATTGTATGTACTATAATAAAGAGATGTTGACCAAATGTTTCTTTGTTGCCAAGGATCACAGGGCATCCAGTTCTCTGAGATATTTACCTTCCCGCATGCATGGCAATGATGACGCCTCAGTGTGAGTTTAAAGTCACAACCACAGCTCATACACATCATGACGTGAGATACAGGTACCAAAGTTGGTGGCCTCTCACCCAAAGACATTCCCAGTCTTTCCCTAAGCTGAAAATAAAATACAATGGCTTATAATGATGTAGAAGACATGCCTCATCTGAATCACTTCAATAAATATTTGTCAGGATTTACTGCTGGCTTCCATGTTCAACTGAAATGTCACAATCAGGAAGATACTTTCTGTAGAACACAATAAGATGTTCCTTTAAGACAGGCAAGTTCAAGGCTGTGGCCTACAGCCCTATAAATAGCCCTTCCACTCTCCAGAGCATTCCCAGAATCCACTGAATGCCTTTGAGTGGCAGGAATTTGTGCGTACTTATAAGAACTTTTGGGGAAAGAGTTAAAGTGTGAAATAGTTGCCTGAAGTTGTTCCCGCCCCCCCACCTTCCCAAAAACAAACCAAATGTTTTTGGTTTCCCACACTCCTATATCATGTCTCTGACCACATCTTTTGTGGCCCTGGGAAGAAAACATTAAAAATGGAACCCTTTTCTTTAAATGAATATCTGCACAGAAATAATGAAAGCATTATTTTGGCCAGACATAGACAGTGCCATCTGCAATTGCTATTTTGCTGATATTTTCCATTCACTTTTATAGACAAGCTAATGATTTTAGAATAAATTAAGGTGTGATTCTTAGAGCCTTAAGGGCATATATGTACACTCCTATTTTGGAAATGTTTCTGCCAGTGCTATTAAAAGAGTAGGTATCTTAGATTAATAAACAGATTTTGTCCAATGGTTCCTCCCTCTAAAAACATGAAGTGAGAAGCAACCCGATATATGAATACGTTTTTAGAATATGGTGATATGGATGAATCTTCTTTCTTCTAGCATATTCATATTTCTGGCTTGTTCTGCAAAATATCTTATAATTTTCTAAATAATTCATTTTCAGTTCAGAACACAAAGCCCCAGTATCTTCCTTTCTCTCAAGAATTTAACTTGATGAGTTTTTTTTTTTAAATGAAGCCTTTTATATAGCATAATCCCAATTAAAAATAGATTTCCTCACAGAAATTAGTCAGAAGATGATAATAAATAATAACAACAAAAATAAAACTTACAACAAATTAATTAAAATAGTAACATTCCAGCAGTAAGTCTGTAGAGATTCTCAGTCATCCAGGTCATGGTTATCCCAAAGGTGTTTTTTCAGGAGGCAACTGGACTTTCTTGTTTTTTCTTTTGAAGACATTTCACGTCTCATTCAAGAAGCTTCTTCAGCTCTGACAGGACAGTGGGGAATGGAAGGATTTATACTCCTTGCAGGCAGCTGGTTATTTGCATCCTTTTAGAGGGTCATTGAAGCACCTGAAGGTTTATCTGTTTCCTCAGGATCACCTGAGTAGTGCTCCTGGTTCCTCTAGTCTGCATTTTTGTCTGCAAGGAGTATAAATCCTTCCATTCCCCACTATCCTGTCAGAGCTGAAGAAGTTCTTGGATGAGAATCAAAACTTCTTCAAAAGAAAAAACAAGAAAATCCAGTTGCCTCAAGAAAAAGCACCTTTGGGATTCTAGCAGTAATCTCAGTCAGCTGAATAATGAAAACTTATATAGTATTGCAGTAGCTTTTGGCCTTCAGCCTTGCTAAAAAAAATGAAAATAATCTAAATGTCTGACCATGCAAGACTTCTTTTCCTAAATCTACTCATATGCTCTCTTACTTCAACACTGTTGTGGAAGCCGCCTCCGCTGTGAGCCCCATGGCCTTCTGGGATGCTTCTGCTGATGCAGCTGTACCACTCATCCCTTTCAGAGCATGAGCTGCCGAGAGAAAGGAAGGAATCAGCTTGATCCAAGTTACAACCTGCTATTATTTAATGGCTGCATTTCTTTATAGGCGTGCCAGCCTTGTCTCCCTTTCTAAAGCAACAGAGAACTCTGAAATATTTATTTCCCAAAAGTTGACAAATAGAGAATGAGCGCTGCCCTCACATTCATCACACTTTGTTAATATGCTTTTCAATAATACAAAAAGATAACAAAAGTGGAGAATAGGGACACATATTTTTGCAAACTGGTCATTAGAGGTCACTGTTTACTATGCGAAGCAGCAGAAGCCTCAGCTAATGTTGTGTTCTGATTTTATCTTTGTTTGTTGAAATGTCAACTCAGTTTAACTCTGTTCTCTAATGGGCACCATATGAATACTTGTTATCACCCTTGCCACATCCATGTCAATTGTCAAGAGACTCAGCGGTAGATTGTGTTAAGTTTAATTCATTTAAAAAGTAGGGTGGGAATAAATTCAGATTCCTTTGAAGATTCAGGAAATTCTGTAGATTCCTTTAAGCATGCAGAAGGCCTTGTGTCATATCTCAATCCAAGTTTCCTCCCTTAAGGAACTGAATCCCAATGACTTTGGGCATTGCTTGTCAGGGACTGTAAAAGTGACTTATGACCATTTTTCGAATGGGGCAACACTCACTTAACAAATGTCTCACTTAGCAATAGAAATGTTGGGTTTAATTGTGGTCGTAAGTCAAGGACTACCTGCATAGATTCAGCTCAGGCTGTTTTATTTTCCTGCTTCCGTAATTGATATTACTGTCCAGATTATTTAAGTAAAATAAAGCAAGTGGTTAGATATTAAAAGCATAGGCATCAAACCTTTCTTTAGGTGGAGGAGGCAGAGATCTGATTCAGTAACATAGCAAGATTTTCTTTTTTATCAACCGCATGCTCTTTCTGATTTTGATAATGGTTAATTCGTTAAGATGGTTTCTTTTAAACAGGGACCCCATTAAGTTGTCAGTGAAGTTTTTAATCTTCCTTCTGTCATTTAAGCGCTATAAAAATGCATTTAAACCCACTGGGTAGAATTGGCTAATTATTTCGTTTCATTAGCCCTCCAATCACCTCAGAGACACGATTTTACAAGTGAACTTATAAGTAGAGAAGCAGACAAAGCATGACAAGAAAAAAAAGTTATAAAAGATGAAGAAGCAGGCCATATGTCTATTAGAAATATATTTTCTACTCTTCCTTTTATGTCTAAGTACTTCTGAAGTGCTTTTGGCACCCGAGGAGCATAGAAATTGCTGTATCTTTTGACTCTTCAGTTAAAATGGATGCTTATTTTATGGTCAAACACTGAGTGTTATCCAATAGAATACCATGTACATTATTGGAGTTTAAATATAGCAAGACATTAATGAGATCTCAGGGAACAGATGTGTTGATCCACAAATTCAATAAAAACAAATGACTGAATACTGGTACAACATAGCCTACCTTGCAGATAGGGTTAGGCAATTTTCAGCGTATTCAATCTTCAGAACGTTCTGAGCCTTTTTTGTTGCTGGACGGCTGACCTAAAAAGAAACTGCATTTGTCTGATGGAGGCACCTTCATTTATCTTCCAAATATGCAAATATTTGGGAGATATTCATCTTTCTTTTTCATGTACCAAAAGCAACATGTTGTTCTTTGCAAATGCTTCTTAGAACATCTACCTAGAGCTGAGCTTCTCTTTATGATACAAAAGTGATAGATATCTTAAGGAAGTGAAAGCTTCTTTCATGCCCTTTGAGTACAAAGACAACAACCTGGTAAAGGTTTTAATACATGGCCATGAAAGATGTGGGGGGAAAAATTGACTCAATACTTCTCAAAATAAAACAGACTATGAAGGCATAGTCTCCAAAGATAACTTATGTACTGTGTTTCTCATATAATAAGGCCAGGTCTTATTTTTTTTTTGAGCCCCGAAAAAATGGCTAGGACGTCTTTTCGGAGGTGAATTAATTTCTCCCCCCCCCCATGCACCCTCGCCTAGGGTGCCCCGCGGGCAGCTACGCCTCACCACCAGCCACTCCTAACAGCCAATCATGGCGGAGCGTGGAGGACTCCCTACCCCCACCAAGCGCCTTTGCTGCAGACCCGGGTCAGCGGGCGGGCAGCGGGGATGTCTGCCGGTAGCGTTTCAGCTGCTTCTCAGGCCTCTGTAGCTTCCACAGTTCCTGCTGGTGTTGGCGCCTCTCTCACCAGCGCTGTCTCCAACAACAGCATCTGAGTCTCTCCCGCTTTATCCCCATCCCCGGAACAACAGGAAAAAAAAAGATGTTGAGGTACCTGGGAGCGCCGCGCACTGCGTTTTGGTTTAATCCCGAGCAGTTGGGTGGGCGTGAGAAGAGCCGAGCAAGCATCTCTGCTGCTGCTACCCTTGGTGCTCCAGCCTTGGGCTCTGCAAGTTTCCAAAAGTCCCGGTGCACAGCCCGTTCCTGCATTACAAGCGCGCCCAGGCCGAGCTGCAGCTGTCCCTCTCTCGCCAGCACCATCTCCAACAACAGCGGCAGCAGTGGCGGGAACCATGGAAGCATTTCAGCCGCTTCTTGGGTGGGGGAGCCGCCTCCGTAACTTCCATGGTTCCCGCCGCTGCTGTTGGAGATGGCGCTGGTGAGAGAGGGACAACTGCAGCTCGGCCTGGGCGTGCTTGGAATGCAGGAACGGGCTGCACACCGGGACTTTTGGAAACTTGCAGAGCCCGAGGCTGGAGCACCAAGGGTAGCAGCAGCAGAGATGCTCGCTCGGCTCTTCTCACGCCCACCCAGCCACTCAGGATTAAACCAAAAAGCAGTGTGCGGCGCTCCCAGGTACTTCAAAATGTTTTTTTTTCCGGTTGTTACAGGGATGGGGGAAAAGCGGGAGTGACTCAGACGCTGTTGTTGGAGACAGCACTGGCGAGAGAGGCGCCAGCACCAGCAGGAACTGTGGAAGCTACGGAGGCCTGAGAAGCGGCTGAAATGCTGCCGGCGGACATCCACGCCAATGCCGCCCACCTGCTGACCCAGGTCTGCAGCAAAGGTGCTTGGTGGGGGTAGGGAGCCCTCCGCGCTCTGCCATGATCGGCTGTTAGGAGTGGCTGATGGCGAGGCGTAGCTGCCCGCGGGGCACTCCTAATGGCAAGTTCCTCCCTGCCTTCCCCCCCAATTTTGCATGTTTTAAAATAGGCCTAAATTTGGGAGGAGGGGCTTAATTTCATTTTATGCCTAGAAAACATGGTGGGTCTTCCTATTGGGGGGGGGGCGTATTGTTGGAGAAACACGGTAAATTTGTCCTGCTTGAATGACTATTTATGCTTGAATCACCTGTCTCATTTATTGGAATAAAATTTTATGAACCTTGATCTCACTTCTTTTTTTTTCATAAACTCAGAGATGGGGGGGAGGAGGATCTTGTGCATCTAATCCAAACCCCAGCTCAATTCAGGCAGGCCAAGTATATTAGAACATATCCAAACTTCTGTTTAAAGCATCTGTTTGAAGAGTTCTCTCAACTAAAGAACCCCCAATCATTTAGATAAATTATTCCATAACTGAAGTGCTTTTACTATTAAGAAGTTTATCCTAATATTCAATAAAATTCACCTTCCTGAAAGTTTAATCCACCAGATTGTGACAGTGTTCTCATTAAATCTTTCCTTCTTATTAAATACAATAAATTTATTCAGCATTTTCTGACACAATTTATTTTTTATATTATATTTTTATTTTAATCTTTCTGTTTGTATACTGATCATTGCTTTTTTGTGAACTTCAAGTGTTTAATATACACTAAAAGCATCCTATTACAATCATATCTCATTATCGAATAATGTTTAGCTTGTGTATCTAATTGCAATCTAGAGACCCATTTTATGGGATATTTTCCAAGTTAGTAATCTTTCATGCTGTGCTGGTGGGTCTGATATTTTTTGCCTATATTTTTGTATTTTTATTCTGTTCAGTCTTGTTGCTTCACCTTGATTTAATTTTATATACTATAAAAGTATTTCTAAATTCCATCCCTATTTTCTGAAGTATTAGTAACTGTTTTCAGGATTCAAAATTCACACCAGAAACATCATTGAAAATTATTGGGCCAGATTCTTATGTAGCCTCAACTGAAATTACACTTCAATTTGATGAGCATTGAGTCCCTTTTCCAAAGAGGTGTGATTGCATCTGTTATCAACACCTAGCCAACTCTTCAGTTAATGCTTTGCTGAAACCAAAATAAGTCACTAAGCCAGAGGTGAAAAACCCTGTACCACACTGAGCCACTGACAGTCAGGCAGCATATCAATTTTAATAATACTACAGTAGTAGTGGTAGTAGTAGTAGTAGCAGCAGCAGTAACAATAACAACAAATGTATGAGTGCTGTGCTACAAACCACACTCAAAAATACATAGGAAAATCACATTTAAATTGAATTACATTTAAACTGAATTTATATCAAATTATTTAAAGATGATAATTATTATCCTTTTTGATCACATTCAAGATTGAAGTTTGATGATAAAAAAAAGTTGCAAAAGACTAGGTGCTTCTGCAATCAATCCAGACCATATTTTGTTGTTCAGTCATTAAGTTGTGCCCAACTCTTCACAACCACGTGAAACCACAGCACTGCAGGCTCAGCTGTCCTTTGTTGTCTCCCAGAGTTTGTCCAAATTCATGTTCCTTGAGTCGATGACACTATCTAATCATCTCAACCTCTGCCATCCCCTTCTCCTTTCCCCCCAGATTATATGAATTTGCCTCAATTTATATTGGGTTCTATTAATCAGCAAACATTACCAGAATGATTACAAAACAATAAAATTAAAAATTTTCACAGTGTTTTCCAGGATAACACAGTGAGGCTGGTCACTACTTTACTGTTTTCTGGATATGCTTTATTTTTTCTTAAAGCAGGAAATAATTGATAATTGAAGAGTCAGACCCGTTAAGCATGATTGTGAAAAAGCAATACTTTTTTTGATACGAAAAATAAATTACACTGAAATGATGTGCATTGCTTGTTTGCATTTTCTATTTCTGTGCATGCCTGCTGCTTCTCCTCTGGTCAATTTTTAAAAAAATGTAAAAAAGATAGTGAATCACATGGAGATAAATAGTAAAGTAGAGGATGAATCATCACAAAGTTCCAGAAAATTCTCATCTAAATATTATTTTTTGTATTCTGCATTTTGTTTCTCTGCAAATTCAACATAACTTCTTCACTACACAGTGATTCACTATGAAGTTTCTTTCTCCTATAGCATTAGCAAATCCTGGTAGTTATGGAGAAAGGAATTAAGGAATCCCGATTGGACAGTATATATGTTCCATTTTATTTTAGTTTTATTCAAAACAAAGAAGTTTTAGATGAACAAAATATAAGAGTACATTAAAAAAGGGTGAACATTACTTTCAGGGGGTTCTTGGTGCTCTTTGAGCTTGCTTGTTTTCTTGCAGATGTTTCATTGCCTAAACTAGGTAACATCATCAGTGGTAGTGGACTAGCAATGATAAAGTTACCTAGTTTGGGTAAGTGAAACATCTGCAAGAAAACAAGCAAGCTCAGGGAGCACCAAGGACTCCCTCATTTCAAACCTGAGCTACCCGTATTCTCCTTTATTGATATATTACCTTCATGCCAGACACAGCCAATGTATTTTTAAGGCAATATTTGCCATCCTTCTGGGGATATGTATACAGCAGGACATCATTCATCTGTATGAAGAAAAAATAAAATCAATTATATGTAAGCTTGAAACAAGTCCAGGATGATGCTGGCTTTGGTGAAACTCTAGTCTAGGACTGTTTTTTCAGAGATGGCAACATGGCAGTAATGGCAAAGATCAAACCAATACACGTCTATTTAATAAAATGGACTGAGTCAAAGAGTTGTAGTGACTAACAAATTTGATTTGGGATAGATTGACAGATAGATAGATAGATAGATAGATAGATAGATAGATGATATATAGATAGATAGATAGATAGATAGATAGATAGATAGATAGATGATAGATGATAGATAGATAGATAGATAGATAGATAGATAGATAGATAGATAATAGATAGATAGATAGATAGATAGATAGATAGATAGATAGATGATTGATAGATAAATAGATAGATAGATAGATAGATAGATAGATAGATAGATAGATAGATAGAGTCATTATTATTCTAGTCATGTCTTAGAAGCATAGAAATATTAAAATGTGACATTATTCTTTGTTTTGGATTTATTACAAATTAGCATAAAATCCATAGTTTGTTTATCTTATTTACTCAATATACTTATATAGCCCTCTTTTTGTCAAAGCATCTCAAAGAAGTGTACAATAAAAGTAACAATAAAATATATACAAAATAGAACCTTAAAACAGTATAAAGCAGCATTGATTTATGGGAGAGGAGAGGAAGAAAATGAATTATTCTTCCAGCATTCCAAAGTGTGGGTAAGTACCATGGATCGGGTCAGCTCTTGAGAATCAACCATCCTCACTAGATGAAGCAGAGGATCTCAATGATTGGCCAAATCTTTTTCAATTGTAAGCCACCCAAAGTCATTGATTGAGATGGGCAACTATAGAAATCAAATCAATCAATCAATTATAAGGTCAGTAGCAATCTGAGAAATATCCAGGTCCCTGAATCTGACTTGGTAGTTAAGTAGCCAATGTGAAATTGTTTCAAGAAATGTGTTAAGTTGTGTATGGCCAGGCCACCAATTTGGTTGCTGTAATCTGCACCAAATACAACATTTGGACCAAGTGCAAACATAGCTCCATGTAAATGATCTAAATGTGAGGTTACCAATGCATGAACAGTTATAGCTTGGCTATCTTATCCAAGAACAGGCATTGGATGCATATTGAACAGAATTAATAATAGGTATTCCTAGCCTCCAATTATAATGATGATTCTATCAACACTCTCAAACCTATATGCCTATTCTGAGCTGTGATGGCGCCTGCCAGAAGTTTGGCAGTTCAAATCTCACCAGGCTCAAGGTTGACTCAGCCTTCCAACCTTCTGAGGTGGGTAAAATGAGGACCCAGGTTGTTGGGGACAATATGCTGACTCTGTAAACCGCTTAGAGAGGGCTGTAAAGCACTGTAAAGTGGTATATAAGTCTAAGTGCTATTGCTATCCTTTCTGAGGGAGTGCAACCCATGCAGAACAGATAAACTCCCCAATTTCAAGCCTGCAAAAACTCCCACAAAATCAGTAGATGCTTCCTGGCTCACTTCCACCCATCATGTTATGCTGTTAAGACACAGCACAATCTCTTTTGATTCAGGTATTATGGAGAAATAGAGCAGAATGTCAACTAAAAGTTGGTAACTTCTTGCTTCAAAATCCCAGTGATTCCCCTTAGCCATTTCATATAGATCAGTGTTTCTTAATCTCAGAGCCTTTAAGATATGTAGATTTCAACTTCCAGAATTCTTCAGGCACATGGGGAAACCCTTCCATTAATGTCTGCAACTAATTATTTTATAAGTCTACTTTGCAATATTATCCTGTTCAGAGGTGGTATTCATCAGGTTCTGACCAGTTCTGGAGAACCAGTAGCGGAAATTTTGAGTAGTTTGGAGAACTGGCAAATGCCACCTCTGACTGTCCCCACCCCCATCCATTCTCTGCCTCCCGAGTCCCAGCTGATTAGCTGGGTCTTCTTTTGTTGCCCTGCACAGGAGAACGGAGCTGGAAAGCAGGTTAATAGGGCAGGAAGGGAATGGGATTTTGCAGTAACCTTCCCCTGCCACACTCACCAAGTCACACCCACCAAGCCATACCCACAGAACCGGTAGTAAAAAATTTGAATCCCACCACTGATTCTGTTCTGCTGAAAAGCAAAAGTTATAGCAAATGTATCTACCATGTATTTTCCAGAAGATTGAAGAACCTTTTGTTACAGATTTGGAGAATATGGAGATGGAACAGTTAAAAGAAATAGATGCTTGATAAAGAATACAGTTTATTGCAATTATTAGTAGGTTGCTGGACTGGCTGAGGGCTTTTCCTACCAAAAAGCCAGATGGAGTTTCATTTGAAACTTGACAGGTATATATGAACACTGCTTCTAAAAGTACTACTACTAAAAGTAGTCTGAATTTTAGTTTGTAGTTACATTATTCATCTCCATCGTCTCCTACTTACTATTCTTCATTTATTACTGTCTCAGATTTTTTTTTCTAGGTCAGCAAATACAGATTTCCTACATAAAAAAATAACCAAAGGCTTCTCAAGGAAGTTTGTGTCACATTTATGTATTGCTTTGTCAATATTAATTTAATAATCACAATATCTGACTCTCCCTTGTGAATTTATATTGATTCCAGTACCGCAAGTACCGAAACCTCTACAAAGATATATCTAGGATAGTTTCTTGTAAATTGGGAATTGGCAAAGTCAAGGGAGGAAAAAACCTGACTCTTAGCTATTAAAGAATAGATCACGAAAATGAATTTCCCTTGGCTGTTATAAAAAAAGATTAAATGTGACTTTCTAGGAGGAAATGTCACAGGAAGAATATCAAGAGAAGTTAATTTTGTTATGAAACCACAAAAATGTCTTGATTTATGCAGTTATTAATTTAGCCTTTAAAATGAGATGATTTCACTGTAGAAAACAGATAAAAATTAGGTTGTAGCCTTCTTTGAATATGCAGTGTTTACTTAATTACTGGGAAGGCTATGCCCTTTGCTTTGCCTGTTAACTAGTATGAGGTCAGTTCAGGCCACAGAAAAGATAGCTAATGAAGGGCACCCTGCCATCCCATAAAATTAGTTTGTATGAAGGATTGTCAGGCTTTCCACAGCATGCACTGCATTATGCCCTGGCTATACATTCTGCTTGTTGTTTGCAAAGAAAAAAATATATTAAAAAGTTCTACAAAACACAAGATATTTTGCATTAATTATAACAATGGGAGCTACCCTATTGCACTGTTGCTATGGCAGCCATGATTATTATCCTTTGGTTTTATTAAACATTAATGATGGTTGTGTTTGTTAATTGCCTTTTAGAGTGATTTCCCATCTGCTTTGTCTTCACATTCAGGGAAATGTACCTAAGGTCTCAAGTCCTACCACTATTCATGACTAGCCACCAGGAAATTCAAATTAATGCTGTTGAGCTAGCCAGGAGAGGAATGATGTTGCTAAATGTTCGTGTCAGCTTTGAGTATCTATATAAAACATTTGTATGGAAGATATTGCATAGTTCATCTTTGTGCACTAGTTCCATGTTACTACACACATTTCTGTACATTACTAACAGATCGACCAAGTTGTCTAGTAACCTGGTTTTATTCTGTTTGTGTTGCTTTATTTTTGTTGAATTTTTGCAGTTGGGAAATCTCAGTTCACTCCTTGGGTCTCTTTTTAATTGATGATGCTGAAAGTCAATACTGAAGTTTCCCTAAAATAAATAGCTTATTTTGTATAATGCTTAAAACCAAATTAAATTGCTTCATAATTAGTTTGACTGTGTATTTATCCATGCTGTAACTGCTAACCAGCAGTGCTCTATATATAGAATATCAGGAATACACCTGTTGTTCATGAACCACAAGATCTACACACAAAGAGTTCAATTAGGTACTTTCACAGAAATCTTCCTAGACTGGCAGTCTACATTTGGGTCAAGCTAGATAAGATTCAGCTGCATTCAAGGGGAATTGCTCCTTGCTCTCTTGTGTCACCATAATAATTCTATACTAGTTCCATGCTTGATACCTCCCTCTGGCTAAGCCAGTATCTCTCCACAACATCTTTCCTTTCAACATCCTTACGATTTATATTGACTGTTTCTTAGTATGATTTGATTGCTTATTTGTACCCTATGATCATCATTAAGTGTTGTACCTTATGATACTTGATGAATGTATCCTTTTTTAATGTACATTGAGAGCGCATGCAACTAAGAAAAATTCATGTGTCTAATCACCCTTGGCCAATAAAGAATGAATGAATGAATGAATAGGGCTCTCATAAAAGCATGTGATTTAATTGAAAAGTAATGAGTTAAACATCTAAGATATGAATGAATATCAATATTAATGAATAGATTTGTATTATTTTTGATAATATAGTATAATTTTAGAATGTACCAGACAGAATCCCAATGTATGTTATGTATTTTATATTAAGTACTATAAATATAGGGGAAAAAGATAAAGGCATCATACTCCATATAGTGTATAGGAGAAGTACTTCTTTTTTTTTAAAGAAGAAAAATAAATGATTGGCTGGAATAGAACAGACAAAGAATAATAAATATTACAATATGAATTGAGAGGAGATAAAAATAAATAAATAAAATAAAATTGAGAAAATTTAAAGGAGAGGAGAAGTTATATAGAAAATTGAAAATGTTAAGAAGATATGAAATGGTATGTAAAATGAATATGAAATTGAACTTGTGTCTGTACCAAGAGTTTTAACCCGGGACTAAGCAACTTTCAGAAAAGAGATTTTTTATACTTTTATGTTTTGTGTTTATGTGTATTTATGTATTGTTTGTCTTGAAAAATAAAACTTGTTTAAAAAAAAAAAAGAATGAATGAATGAATGAATGAATGAATGAATGAATTAATTCATTCATTCATTCATTCATTCATTCATTCATTCATTCATTCATTC